CGCATAATGGCATGTCTAACATTCTTAGGCAATATGTTACGTATAGCCATGGGTAACAACTGTTGCATCAAAACGTGACAATCATGGGACTTTAATCATACTAACTTCATATCTTTCATGGATACAAGACTCTTAATATTTGAAGAGTATCTTTGTGGCACTTTAATACCTTGAAGACAATGACATAAACTACTTTTCTCCTTCTTTGACAAGGTGTGACATGCTGGTGGTAGATATGTTTTATTGTCTTCATGCCTTGGATGTAATTCAGGACGTATTCCCATCTCACAAAGGTCTTGATGTGCTTTGATCCCATCCTTTGACTTTCCTTGAATGTTTAACAATGTGCCAATGATATTATCACATACATTCTTCTCCACATGCATAACATTAATACAATGTCGTACTTCTAAATGCCTCTAATATGGAAGATCAAAGAAAATTGATCTCTTCTTCCACATGTTCTTGTCAGAAGACTTTTTTTGGGTCTTTCCAAATGTAATGCGTATGTTCTTCACCCGATCGTAAACTTGTAAACCAATCAATGGTTCTCTAGCAATTTCATCCTCCTGTATTTCATTAAAAGCTTTCTTCAATCTACAGTATGAATGATCATGCAGGAGAAATTTTTTGTGCTTATTATAAATTGTCTTCTTTCCATGTTTCAATTGTAGATAACTGGTCTCTTCTTCACAAATAGGACAAGCATAATGCCCCTTCACACTATACCCACTCAAGTTTCCATAGGCAGGGAAGTCATTAATGGTACAAAATAACATTGCATGCAACTTGAACTTCTACTGCCGATACCCATCAAACGCATCTACTCCTTCCTCCCATAATAGTGTTAAGTCTTCTATCAAAGGACTCAAATACACATCTATGTCATTTCTTGGCTGTCTTGGACATGCAATCATCATACACAACATGACATATTTGCGCTTCATGCATAACCATGGTGGAAGATTGTAAATCATCAATAAAACGGGCCATGAACTATGGTTACTACTTAAATTACCAAAAGGATCCATCCCATTTGTTGTTAATCCAAGTCTAAGATTTCTTGCATCACTATCAAAACCTGGAAATAGACAGTCAAAATTCTTCCATTGGGGAGAATCAGATGGATGTCGTATTTGCCCATCACAGGTTTTTCCCTTTGAATGCCAAATTAAATTTTCAGCATCTTCGTGAGCGTACAACCGCCTATATCTTGGAATTATTGGAAGATACCATAAAACCTTTGTAGGAGGACGTTTTTTATCACTCTCCTGACTACAATCATCACCATCCTTCGCTTTGTAACGTGATACACCACATGTTGGACATTGGTCTAAAGATAAGAATTATTTCTTGTATAACACACAGTCATTAGGACAAACATGTATCTTCCTATATTTTAAACCCATCGGACAAAGTATCTTCTTCACTTCATACATACGGTCTGGCAAGGTGTTATTGTCTGGGAGCATCTCCTTCAAAAGTTGGAGTAATTCATTAAAACTTGTATCACTCCAACCAAATTTTGCTTTTAGATTGACCAATCTTAACACAGATGACAACCGTGTGAAAGTTGTACATCCGGGATACAAAGGTGTCTCTGAATCGGTCCTCAATGTATCATATATAGCTGCATGTGCTTCAAGAAAGCTCTCTTGACCCACATCACAAAGCATGTCCTCTATTCGATCTTCACAGGTCACATCATCCCCAATAGTTTGTGATATTGTTGGAATATCAACCACTTCACCGTGCCATGTCCATATGGTGTAATTCTTCATCATCCCTTCGCAAATAAGATGTTCCTGCATTGTGTCCATCTCTTGTACTCTGCCATTTACACAATTAACGCATGGACAATAGATTTTTCCATTCGTTTTGGGAGCATTTTTTTTCGGCAAATTCTAAAAAGGAGTCAACTTCATTCTCATACTCTTCTGACATGCGACTTGCATTCACCCAACTTCGATCCATCTAACATACACAAAAGGACTTGCCTAGATATTGAAGGTTTATTGGAAAGGTTTAGCAAAACAATACAAAAAAAAGATAGCAAACAAGTTATTCATAATGATAATCTGATTTCCCACGTAGAGAATGGGAAAATAACCCCAAAAACAGTCACAGTCAAACGTGTACATCTACATGAAAGAGTATATACCACTTCGAAACCGAAAACAAACTTCCAAAGCCTAAAGGAACCTAGATCAAATCAAACCATACAAATCATCCATAATCTTTCCACTGTTCATTTGCAGGAAATGCTCTAAATCATCCATATTTATGTTAAATGCATGTTGTAAATCATCCATACCACTTAATCTAACCTGATGAGAAGAGGTTTCCTTAGGGCAACGAGGGGTACCATGCACACGGCAAAAGCGGTGGTGCAATGACGTCTAAGAGCGCGGCAAGGGGTGGCGAGGGGACGGCGTTACCACGTCAAACAAGGAAGCGGCGACACAACCACGTCAAAATTTAGTTAAATCATAATCTAAATAGATTAAAATAGACTATGTTACAAATTTTTTAGTTTAATCTAACTTTTTTATTAAACCTTTTTTATTTGTCCATTCAATTAAGTCTATTTTGTTCAAATGAAATATATGAAAACTTGCGTCATTAAATTTGTGAAGAACAAAATAAAACGAACTTATATTATGTATAACATTTCTTATTTATGAATACGTAGATAATGTTTTCACCGATAAGTTTGTATAATTTCGTTAAACTAAATGCATAGTTTTTTTTTATCCTATGAAATTTTTGAAGTATCAGATCGTATGAAATTAGTTACAGATTTTAGAAATCCGTAAGTAACTATTATTTACAAATATTCACTACTACAAATAAAGCTTTCAACGTTGGTTCGGAAGGCTTTCAACGTCGGTTGTTGAACCGACATTATATCGAGCGACGGTGAAAGTCATAACTTTTAACGTCGGTTCTAATAAACCGACGTTGAAAGTATGATTTTTTAAATTAATAATTTTTATTTATTTACAACCCCTTTACCCCCTTTTATTTATCTAGAAGTCTCACCTCTCTTTATATTATATTTTTATTAGGTCCTCCATCTCTTTATATTATATTTTTTAGAAGTTTATTAATTTTTTAAGAGAATTGTCATTGGCAGGATTCGAACCCAAGTACTTTAGAGTTGGAGACTCGATACTCCAACCACTAAACTACTAGAATTTTCCGATAATAACTTACAAATAAATTATATTTATATACAAATAAATATATATCCATGTAAATATATAAATATATAAATACAAATATATTTATATATTTTGATATATTTATATATTTATATATTTATATGTTGGATGTGAGGACACACTCGAAAGTGAAAGTGTGTGTCGAGTGAGTTCTCAAAATTTGATGCTAAATTTGTGAGCAGGTATCTTTATATGAGTTTGTAATTTAATGACAGAATATAATCTTTATAATTTTATTTATATAATGATATAAAATAAATTTGGGAAACGCGTTATTTGCTCTCAAGCGAAAAATACCAATTTTCGCTCAAGCGAGACTTGAGTAAGTGAATTTCCGTGAGCTTTAACATATTTTCACTCAAGCAAAAGTCAATCACACTTTCATCCTCGATCGAAAAATACCAATATAATTTATTTGGAAGTTATTATCAAAAAATTATAGTAGTTTAGTGGTTGGGATATTAACTTTTAACCCTAAAATACTCGGGTTCAAATGCTATCGATGGCAATTCATTAACTTAAGAGAATTTTTGGTTGAAAATAAAAATAAAAATACTTTCTAGAAAATATATACAAATAAATATTTACATGGATATATATTTATTTGTATATAAATATAATTTATTTGTAAGTTATTATCAAAAAATTCTAGTAGCTTAGTGGTAGGAGTATCAATTTTCAACTCTAAAGTATTGGGTTCGAATCCCGTCCATCACAATTTTCAAATTTAAGTGAGTTTTTGGGTGAAAAAAAGAAGACTATATGAACCGTGGAAAGTGTCAATAAGTAAAAAAAAAGACTTTCAACGTCGATTTATATGGGAACCGACGTAGAAAGTACTTTCTACGTCGGTTGACTAGGAACCGACGTAGAAAGTACTTTCTACGTCGTTGACTAGGAACCGAAACCGACGTAGAAAGTACTTTCTACGTCGGTTGACTAGGAACCGACGTAGAAAGTACTTTCTACGTCGTTGAAACCGACGTAGAAAGTACTTTACGTCGTTGACTAGAACCGACGTAAAGTACTTTCTACGTCGGCTGACTATAACCGACGTTAAATGACGACGTAGAAAGTACTTTCTACGTCGATTGACTATAACCGACGTTAAATGACGACGTAGAAAGTATATTTTGTTGTAGTGATTTTACATATAGATTTTTTTTCATTAAAATTCTATATTTTACCTACATATTCTATCCGTAGATAATATTGAATTATTTTTACAGTAAAAAAATAAAAAATGGATGACAATGATAACGAACTTATACAACAAACTAACTACTTCGTTTGGTATTACGGATGAAAATGAAAATTAAATATTTTTTTATACTTTATTTTTTGTTATGGTCCATCAATCTTAGGATATGCATGGCTCATCATGGAGGATTGCACGCCATGAAAATGATATGCAAACTGGTAAAACATTAACATGAGGCATTGAAGAGAAGGAAACAGAGGTGAGAGCTGAGAAAGTACAGAGAAATATGAGGCATAGCTACATTTTTGGTTCAAAAGGACATTGATTTTGGTACATATTACTACATTCTTTTTGCGAGAACGTCTGCTCTTATATCCCTTATAATAATATTGTTACACTTCTGATCCGTTTTGAATTCTTAGTGGAATATGCGTCTTGGGTGTATATTATTATCACACATTAAATTCAATTTTTTATCAAACTCACCTCAAGTAACGCATTATTTATTTCTTTGTGCAAGAAAATTTTCATCTTCATTTGAGTAGTTAGTTGACCTTTTGACGTTGACTTCAATTATGGAATCTGTGGCTTCTGGTTCTTGCTCTTCTTCATCAAAATCCAAAACCCAGTGGATATACGATGTGTTTCTGAACTTCAGAGGAGGAGACACTCGTAGCACCTTCGTTTCCCATCTCCACAGTGCCCTTTCAAACGCGGGAATCCACACTTTCATCGATGAGGGGCTTCAGAAGGGACAGAACCTGGGGCCAGAACTGCTGCGAGCAATTGAAGGGTCTCAGATAGCAATAGTTGTGTTCTCCAAGAACTACGCTGAATCTGGTTGGTGTCTTGACGAGTTGGCGAAAATTGCAGAATGTCACAGAAGTCATGGGCAGGTTGTTGTGCCCATATTTTACGACGTTGATCCATCGGTTGTTCGTAGACAAACGGGTGATTTTGGCAAAGCGATGGAAGCAGTTGGTGTGAGAAAATTCCAGGGAAAGATCTTGCTCGATTCATTGATGAGGTGGAGCGACGCACTCCACCAGGTTGCAAATTTTACTGGCTGGGATATGAGGCAGTGCAGGTAACTCATTTTTCTTACTCTCTCAAACCATTACATCAAATAAATATATGGTTGAATATCCACGAAATTAGTTTAAGTAAACTAAAACACGATTTAAACAAAAATGGATGATATAAGAAGTGATATTAAAAAATGACATGTTTGTGAAATATGACTTATATCTGTTTATTTTTCTACCAGGGAAACTTTTTGTTGGAATAGTTCTTTTGGCATCGGAAATAAAAAAATGTTAAATTTAAAGAAAAAATAATTATTATAATTTGTATATTTAAAAAATAGTAAAAATATATTTAAAAATAAAATTTAAAATAATATTTTTTAAAATTTAATTATAAAAAATATAATTATCACATTTTATGGTTAAGTTTGTCGGATTATTTAATTATTAAAATGTAATTTTTGAGGACTGGATAATAAATTATATATTTTTGTGATTAAGTAATATTATTAACAATCAATTTTGAATAATTTACATATGCAGAAATTATATCAATTTTCTTTTTATTCTTTCAAAAATTGAATGGTCAACTTCTCATATAATCTAAGTAAAAAATGGTCATCTAATAAAGTGACACGCGCACCTTACTTTGATGAATTAAATAATAATAAATATTATAATTTGTTAAATAAATTCATCATTTAATAACATTAAATATAAATTTTATAATAAGCTTAACTTAGATATCTAATCATCTGTATCAAAGTCTAGAGATTGATGATATAAATTACTCGTTATTGATCCTCTTTGAGATAATGCGATCAAATTTTTATCTTCAGATTCTAAGGAAGGAATAAAATATCTTATCATTTCTAAGATAATTTACAAAGACTTAATTTAATTATTATTTTGGTCATTAATGTATTATTAAAATTCAATTAATCATTTTGTTATTAGAAAATTTAATTTGGTCATCTAAATTTTTAAAACAGTTGAATTAAGTTCTATTATTTTCAGTAGATTCAATTAGATCCCTTATTTTGAAAATGAATTTTATGTGGTCTCATTTAATAGTAAATTTAATCTTTTTTTTTTTAATTAGAGTGTATGAAAAAAAAAGGGGGAATTGACCTTATTTAAGAAAATGGAAAATTTAATTAAAACTTTTAAAAATATAAAGATCTAAAATTAACCATTTTTTAGCAATTAAAACATCTAGTTGAACTTTGTAAAAATGAGGGACAAAATGAACTTTATAAATAAATTAAAGGAACAAAATAATAATTAAACTACATTAATGTTGGGAAATAAGGTCGGATAAGATGGAATAATAATAATACACCAATGTGAGATCAATAAAAGACACGAATATTTGTTAACCCAGTTCGGATTAAATCCTACATCTGGGGGCGAACCAAGCCAGGAGAATGAACTAGAATAAGAGGATAAACCGAATGTTACAATTCACACAAGCCCGTATGAATACACTCTCTCTACTCTTTCTTCACACTTGGATTGGATACAAATGAGGTTACAAAATGAGGTATTTATAGCCAAACAAATCCTTCTTGAGAGGAAGTTGAGAGGAAGCTCCCTTCCTTTGACCAGGAAGTTGCAAGGAAGCTCCCTTCCTTTGACCAGGAAGTTGCAAGGAAGTAGCCTTCCTTTGACCAGGAACTTACGAGGAAGTTCCCTATCTTTGACCGATCTTTACACCTCAACAATCTCCCACTTGAAGATTGGTCAACCTGTTCATCTCTCGCTCTTGGTTCCGCTAAGTCTGCTCGTTTTAATCATCAAGGCCGGTCGAAGCTACACACGGCTTCAACTTTTCCAAAGTTACCGCCTTGGTCAACATGTCTGCAGGATTCCTATCTCCCCGAACCTTTTTCAGCTGCAAGCATCTTCTTCTCTAGAAGTTGCTCGGATGAAATGATACTTAACCTCGATGTGCTTCGTTCGCGAGTGAAACGCGGGGTTCTTTGCCGGATGGATTGCACTCGGCTATCGGCCGTATAGAGCCACATCCTCTTGAGGTCTCCCAAGTTCATTCAAGAAGTTTTGCGGCCAAACGAGTTCCTTGGCCGCCTCCGTCACCGCCACGTACTCGGCTTCAGTTGTGGACAATGTGACTATCTTCTGCAGCTTTGAGATCCGGGATACGGCCGTCCCGCCGTAAGTGAATACGTACCCAGTAGTACTCCTCCTCTTGTCAAGATCACTTCCTGCAAAATCGGCATCGACATACCCGGACGGGTAAGGGTACCCCTGCCAAATACTAATGCCCGGTCCTTAGTACCCCTCGGGTACCTAAGGATCCACTTTACCGCCTCCCGGTGCATCACTCCGGGATTGCTCATGAACCGACCGACTACTCCCACTTGCATGTGCTATGTCCGGCCGGGTGCGGACCATAGCGTACATTAGGCTCCCGATAGCCGAAGCATACGGCGTAACTCTCATCTTTTCTTTTTCCGAGTCATCCTGGGGCGAATCCTTGTTGGACAACTTGAACTGGCTTCCCAATGGCACTCGAACCGACTTTGCGATATTCATATTGAATCCGCACAACACCTTCTCAATATAATCAAATTGAGAAAGCCAAAGTTTACCAACGATTTACGTCCCTCGTGATTTTCATGCCCGATGATCTGTCTCGCTTCTCCTAGATCCTTCATATCAAATCTCCTTGATAGCCGATCTTTGAGCCTCTCGATCTCCTTGACATCCGATCCTCGCTATCGGCATGTCATCCACATATAGCGATAAAATAATGAAAGAGTTACCGAACTTCTTCACATAGCAACAATGATCGGCATTACACCCGGAGTATCCTATCTCCAGCATGAAATTATCGAATTTTCGGTACCACTCGTCGAGGAGCCTGTTTCAGTCCGTACAAGCTCTTCTTTAGGCGACAGACCTGCCGATCATTTCCTCTATATCCCTCTCGGTTGCACCATGTAAATTTCCTCCTCGAGATCCCCATGCAGAAAGGTCGTCTTCACATCTAACCGTTGCAACTCCAAGTTTTCCGCCGCTACGATGCTTAACACTAAACGTATAGTGGTTAACTTAACAACGAGTGTAAAAACATCGGTAAAGTCAATACCGTATCTCTCGTTGGAATCCCTTTACTACAAGTCCGGCCTTGTACCATTTTGTTCCATCTCGATTCCTCCTTGACCCGATAGACCCATCTCGTTTTGAAGAGCCTTCTTTCCTTGTGGGAGATCACACAAATCCCATGTGTGGTTCTTCTTCAACGAGTTCATCTCGTCTTCCATCGCAAGCTCCCACTTGCTCTTGTGGGCATCTTTAACCGCCTCGCATAACGATCGGGTTCCCGAGAATCGGATAAAAGTAGGTAATAAAGAGAAGGGGAGTACCTATCCAGGGCCCTTCTCATCCTCGGTTCTCGGCCCAGTGCCGAGGCGTCGTTGCTCTCAGCAATCGGTTCATCCGATTCCGGTTACTGCCTCTTCTTACGTACGCTCGATCTCATCTATCCGAGCTCCCACTCGAATCTGCTGGTCTCATGATTCCGGTATTTGAAATATCGAGACCAACATACTCCTGCATGGTCTTGTCATCGTCCGGGTATTCCTTCCAGGTCCTTGTACATTATGCCTTCATTGAACACCACATTACGATTGCGAATAATTTTCCGATTTTGATCATCCCAAAATCTATACCCAAATTCGTCGAGTCCCATATCCAATGAATGTACATTTGACGGACTTAGCATCCAGCTTTGTCCGGTCGTCATTCAAAACGTAAGCCAAACAACCAAAGGTACGTAAGAAAGAGAGATCAACTTTCTTACTACTCCGGACCTCTTCCGGAATTTTGTTGTTCGAGTGGGACGAAGGCCCCGGTTGATCAAGAAAGCGGCCGTGCTGGCTCGCTTCGCCCAAAACATCTTGGGCAGTCCACTCTTCAATCGCATGCATCTCGCACGCTCATTCGGTGTTCTGTTCATCCTCTCCGCAATGCCATTTTGTTGAGGTGTCCCCGGGACCGTCTTCCGCATCCGGATCCCATGATCGGTGCAGTATTCTTTGATGGCTTCACTGTTGTACTCGCCACCGTTGTCGGATCCGAGACATTTCACTTCCGACACTGTCTCTTTCTCCATGAGTGCTCTCCATCTCCCGAGAGTATCAAAGGCTTCGGATTTTCTTTTCGGAAAGTACACCCATACCTTTCTTGTGCGGTCATCGACGAACGTCATGTAGTACATCGATCCTCCAAGAGATGTCACCGGTGCTTGGCCCCCATAAGTCGGTGTGCACGAGCTCCAGCTTTTTCGTCTTTGGAGCTCTTCCGGTGGTTATGAAGCTCACTCGCTTCGCTTTCCAAGCACGCATTGCTCGCGAGACCCACGTCCACCGACTCCAACTCGGGCAAAAGTCCTCTCGACTTTAGTACCTTCATTCCTTTTTCGCTCATGTGGCCCAAGCGACCGTGCCATAAGTGCGATTGTGAGACAACTCCTGCCAAGAGAATGTTTGAGCTGGATCTACTCGCCGTGTAAAGCGTTCCCGACTTCAGCCCTCTTGCCAAAGTCATAGCTCCTCGGCTGACCTTCCACTTTCCGTCTCCAAACATTGTGTGGAAGCCGTCATTGTCCAGCTTGTCCAACCGAGATGAGATTCCTCTTCGGTCCTGGAATGTGTCTCACATCACGTAGGGTCCAAGCATGACCCATTTGCGGACTTGATCCGCACATCTCCCTTCCCTACAATTTTTAGGGATTTGTTGTCCGCAAGATATACCAAGCCAAAATCACCTGCGGTGTATGGCTCCATGATGTCTCTGCTACTCGCATGAGTGAAATGAGGCCCCCGAGTCCACGATCCAGGTCATCGAGCGAGCTTCTCACACTCAACAAGAGTGCATCCGCCGTGTCCTCCGTCGCGGCATTGGCTGTCCGACCTTCTTTGTCTTTCCTTGGTGCCCGGCATTCGCTTTTCATATGCCCAGGCTTCTCGCAGTTCCAACACACCATCTCTTTCTTGCCTTTATTCCTTCCCCTGGATTTTGACCTCCCACGGATTTTCCCTCGTGTTTCGGGTCTCCCTCTGGACTCTGTATGTAGGGCTGAGCCAGACGACCCACCCGCCTGATTTCTGCGGGTCTCCTCGTTCAACATCATATCTCTTATGTTGTCGAACTTCATCTTCTCCTTGCCAGAAGAAGTGCTCACCGAAGTAACGACCACGTCCCAACTGTCCGGCAATGATGAGAGCAAGATTAGGGCTTTTACCTCATCATCAAACGAAATATCCACCGATGCCAACTGCGTAGTGAGTTGGTTGAAATCGTTGAGATGATCGGCCATCGACTTTCGCTCCTCCATTTGCAATTTGAACAGCTTTTTCATCGGCATCACCTTGTTTATTGCTGATGGTTTTTCATACATGTCGGCGAGTATCTGCAAGACCTCCTTCGTGCTTTTTGCTCCCTTCACATGGTAGGCGACGTTCCGAGAGAGCGAAAGAATTATAGCACTCATCGCCTTCCGATCGAGCACCTTCCATTCATCATCGCTCATCTTCTCGGGTTTTTCCCCAAGAGGTGCGTAGAGGTCCTTCCCGTACAGGTAAGCCTCCATTTGCATTCGCCAGAATCCAAAGTCGGAACCATTGAACCGTTCGACTTGAATCTTTCCCTCCATCTTATCTCCAACCTCCCGGCTCCGATACCGAGTTGTTGGGAAATAAGGTCGGATAAGATGGAATAATAATAATACACCAATGTGAGATCAATAAAAGACACGAATATTTGTTAACCCGGTTCGGATTAAATCCTACATCCGGAGGCGAACCAAGCCAGGAGAATGAACTAGAATAAGAGGATAAACCGAATGTTACAATTCACACAAGCCCGTATGAATACACTCTCTCTACTCTTTCTTCACACTTGGATTGGATACAAATGAGGTTACAAAATGAGGTATTTATAGCCAAACAAATCCTTCTTGAGAGGAAGTTGAGAGGAAGCTCCCTTCCTTTGACCAGGAAGTTGCAAGGAAGCTCCCTTCCTTTGACCAGGAAGTTGCAAGGAAGTAGCCTTCCTTTGACCAGGAACATACGAGGAAGTTCCCTATCTTTGACCGATCTTTACACCTCAACAATTAATAAATTTATTCTATTAACAAGTCACCCAAGGATTATTTCACAACTCTCCACCCAAATTCTATATAATTCTTTCATATTATGTTACTGGTTGAGGGGAGTATATGTAAAAGGTTTTTCAAAATTTAAATCAATATTAAAAGTAAATGAATAATGAAATAATATATCAGTAAAAATAAATATCAAATATTTTATATGATAGAGTATAATTATTCAATAAAATAGAAAAATTTTATTTTTATTTTATTAGATTATTTTTAAATATCTTGGATAACATTATATATTTTAAACTATCCTAAATATTTCGATTATATGTCAAAAAAGATAGTTGTTGGTAAAAAAATATCTATACCTATCTCAAAGGAAAAAGTAAATCAAATTGATATTTAGCAATGAAATCAAATAAAAAAAAGTGTAAAAATTAATAATTTAACTTTTTTTGACTGCGTGTTCTTTCGTGAATTTTGGGAGAGATTTGCGTATAAATAAAGAGAACAACTGAAGAAGCCGATTCTCCCACATTCTTTTCTATGGAGTTTTTGGGGTTGTCACTGCAATTTTTTTATGCTCATTCTGTCTTTTTTTATGTTATTATTTAAGAGATGAAGCTGAACAAGTGAAGAAAATTGTAAATGGAATTTTGGTAGAGCTAGACAACACATTATTATCCATTACCCAGTTTCCAGTTGGCTTAGAATCTCGTGTAAAAGAAGTGATTCGGTTTATTGAAAAACAATCAGGCAAAGTTTGTAAAATAGGGATCTGGGGGATGGGTGGATCGGGTAAAACAACAACAGCGAAAGCCATCTACAATCAAATTCGTCGTGAATATGTTCACAGAAGTTTCATTGAAAATATTAGACAAGTTTGTGAACAGGACAACGGAGGGTATATTCATTTGCAAGAACAGCTTCTTTTAGACGTCCTAAAAACAGAAGTGAAGATACATAATACTGCAGCAGGAACCACTTTGATTGAGGAAAGACTTCGTGGAAAAAGAACACTCATTGTACTTGATGATGTGACTATGTTGGAGCAATTGCATGCCCTATGTGGAAATCGTAAATGGATAAGCTATGGAAGTGTGTTTATTGTTACATCTAGAGACATGAGATTACTTAATTTACTTGAAGTTGATCACATTTGTAGAGTGGAGGAAATGAATGAAGATGAGTCTCTTGAGCTTTTTAGTTGGCATGCTTTCAGGGATGTAACTCCGACAGAAGACTTCATTGAGGTCTCAAGAAATGTGGTTTCTTATTGTGGAGGACTACCACTAGCCCTTGAAGTGCTTGGATCTTACTTGCACAAGAGAACCAAACAGGAATGGAAAAGTGTATTATCAAAGCTAAAAATAATTCCCAATAACCAAGTTCAGGAGAAATTAAGAATAAGCTTTGATTGTTTACAGGATCAGATGGAAAGGGATATTTTTCTTGACATTTGTTGTTTCTTTATTGGAAAAGATAGAGGCTATGTTACGGAGATACTGAATGGCTGTGGACTGCATGCTGATATTGGAATAACAGTTCTTATAGAGCGTAGTCTCGTGAAAGTTGAAGAGAATAATAAACTTGGAATGCATGATTTGCTACGAGACATGGGAAGAGAGATTATTCGTCACAGTTCAACAAAGGATCCTGGGAAGCGCAGCCGATTGTGGTTTCATGAGGATGTACTTGATGTATTGACATATAACACTGTAAGAACGTTCTCTATATACAGTTTTGAAACTCCTCTTCAGAGAGTTTAACTTTTCTTATATGTTGTTTTTGTGTATCATTTCCTTGTGAACAAACAATAGTGGCTTCACAAAATTAGTTTTCTCTGCGTTTTTTCATCGCAGGGGACAGAAGCCGTTGAGGGATTGGCATTGAAATTGCATGGAATTGGTAGAGATTGCTTTGAAGCAAATGCCTTTAAGGAAATGAAAAGATTGAAACTTTTGCAGCTTGATTCTGTACAACTTACTGGGTCTTTTGGGTATCTTTCAAAGCAGCTGAGATGGGTTTGTTGGCAAGGATTTCCTTTGAAATACATACCTGGAAACTTTTATCAAGGAAGTGTAGTTGCGATAAACTTAAAACACAGTAATCTTAAACTAGTGTGGAAGGAACCTCAGGTATATATTACATTCCAATAATTATTATTTGTTTGCTACTTGCCACCATTTCATTTTCCATTTTCTTCTCTAATTTCTGCATCAAAATATTTGTCTTCCTGTAGTTGCTGGAGTGCCTAAAAATCCTCAATCTTAGTCATTCCAAAAACTTGGCCACGACCCCTGACTTCTCTAAACTACCAAATCTTGAAAAGCTCATTCTCAAAGATTGTCCACGTTTGTGCAAGGTACACCAGTCCATTGGAGATCTCTGCAAACTTCTGCTGATAAATTTGAAGGACTGTACAAGTCTTGGCACTCTTCCAAGGAGAATCTATAAGTTGAAATCTGTGAAAACTCTAATCCTCTCTGGTTGTTTGAAGATGGACAAGTTGGATGAAGACATAGTGCAGATGGAATCCTTAACAACTTTAGTAGCAGAAAATATCGCTGTGAAACAAGTTCCCTTTTCGATAGTAAGATCAAAGAGCATTGGATATATATCCCTGTGTGGACATAAAGGATTATCACGTAATGTTTTTCCGTCTATCATTTGGTCTTGGATGTCACCAACAGTAAATCCCCTATCTGGTATTTACCCATCTTGGGGCATGTCATCGTCTCTAACCTCCATCGATGTGCAGAGTAACAATTTGGGTGATCTACCATCAACACTTAAAAGCCTTTCAAAACTTCGAAGTGTTTTGTTGCATTGTGACACGGAGCTTCAACTATCTAAAGAATTAAGAACAATTTTGGATGATGTGTGTGATGTAAATTCTATTAAATTAGAAGTAATGTCGCATACATCACAGCTCAGAGAACATTCGCTGAGGCCTTATTTGATTGAAATAGGAAGTTATCATGAAGTCTTCAATACTCTCAGCAAGAGCATATCAGAGGTTCCTTCTGCCAACTTTCTTTTGATCATTAATCTTGGAAAAATATCTAAAGGAAAATCCTGTGCATGCCTTCTAGAGCTTCCCCTTTCTTTCAAATAGTTAACAAACCTAATAATCAAGCACGTAAGAAGCACTAGGAAATTAATTTCCACTTACTCTTCAAGCTTTTCATTGTCAAGTTTCTAAGCGTACTTCATATTTTATAATCACATGGCTTCCTAAAGTTAACTTATTTCAATAAATTGAAAGATCTGCATGACAAAACAAACATGCACCCTAGCGTTCTATTGTTCTATATCATTAGAATATTGAGATCGTTTCTCTGTAGCATTAAATGAGTGATTAGAGTATGAAATTTTTATAGAGTAGGGTAAAGGGTTGTATGTTCAGTAAAAGTTGTATGCTGCAAATTAATTAATGATTGTTTTCTCTTTACTTAGTTATGATCACTTTTTCTCTCTGTCCAATAAAGAGCTTTCTAGTTTAAACTGTGTAAGTCCTCTTTATATCACTTTGTAAATGTTGCATTGCTGAAATATATAAAGCGAGTTTTGCTCTCCCTGTGTAAGTTTGGTTTCTAGTTATATACTCTTCATCTGTTTTTCCTTTGGGTTAGTCCATACATAAGCATTGTCTATTTATTATCTTTTATTTAAATTAAGTATTAAAAGATTTTATTATTTTTTAAGAGAGAAAATAAAAAGATATTAAGTTATTATTTTGATTTAGGTATTTATAATTGAGATATTATTGATATTTGATATTTTGTAATATTTTTACTCTAAATATACATAAAGTACATGAATAAAATATATACACACATGATATATCGAAATACATATACAAAACCCTAAAATTACCAACGAGTGGCATCGAGCTTTGGTTCGATACAATGGAAGGAGAAAGAAATTTTTCACAAGTCGTTATTCCAGTTTTTGATGGTGAAAGTTATGACTTATGGGCTGTGAGAATGCAATCCTACCTTGAAGGATTGGATATATGAGAAACTGTAGAAGAAGATTATATTGTTGATCCACTACCTGAAAATCCCACCATAACTGAAATAAAATTTCACAGAGAAAGAAAAACGAGGAAGACAAAATCTAAATCATGTCTGTTTGTTGGTGTTTTACAAATGATCTTCACCAGAATCATGACGCTAAAGTCACCCAAAGAAATTTGAGATTATTTGAAAGATCAAGGGGATGAGAAAATTCGAGGTATGAAAGTTCTAAACTTGATAAGAGAATTTGAGATATAAAAGATACAAGAGTCTCAAATAATTAATGAATACTCAAACAAATTGTTGGGTATTACTAACAAAATAAAATTGTTAGACAGAATTTTTTGATTCCAGAATAGTTGAAAAAATTCTCGTAACTGTGCTAGAGAGATATGAAACATCTATTGCTTCATTGGACAACACAAAAGATTTGTCTAATATTACTTTGAAAGAAGTGTTACATGTTTTACAAGTGCAAGAACAATGAAAATTGACGAGAAAGGATCATGTTGCTGGTGAAGGTTTTTTACTGTATCATGATGGAGGTTCTCTCCAAGCCAAGAACAACAAAGGTACAAATCACAAGTCTTTTCGTCTATCCTTATTGCAAGAAAAATAATCATACACTCAACAAGTGTTGGTGGAGGCCTGATGTGAAATGTCACAAATGTGGTCAATTGGGACATATAGAAAAGATATGCAAATCACAACCAGAGGAAGTCATTCAAGTTATATAGGATAAAGTAGAAGGGGTACTTCTCCTTGCATCAATATGTTCTACAAACAATAAATCCACAGGTTAACCTATAGACAGTGGTTGTACAAACCACATGATTCATGATCGAGAACTTTTCAAAGAGCTCAATGAATCACATATTTCTAACGTGAGAATCGGTAACGGAGAATAAATTAATGTGAAAGGTACAGGAACAATTGTAGTTAAAAGTCATTTGGGTATCAAATTAATTTTTGATGTTTTATATGTTCCTGATATTAATCATAATTTGTTAAGTGTTGCTCAATTATTGGAAAAAAGTTATAAGGTGTCTTTTAAACCCAATATTTTGTATGATTAAAGATACAAATAACTTGAAAATATTCAAAGTTCACATGAAAGGGAAAATTTTCACTTTAGATTTGATGAAAGAAGAGTTGATTACAAACGAGGATATAAAAGAAAAGTCAAAGAAAAAGCATGAAGAATATTTCTTGAGGGAACTTTATGTTAATAAAGATGTAGATGAAGAAATCATTTCCAACTTTCATCGAAGAGTCAACGGTACTACCATGAAGTTTGAAAGAAACCAAGGAGATGAAGTTGATAAAGAAAGAAATACTTTGATGAAGAAAATGAAGTTGAATGAAGATGTGATCCCATACAAAAAGGAAGATGACAAGAAGTACAAATAAAAAAGGAGGAAAAATTATAAGCAAAATAAAAGGAAGAATATCAAATTCAAATAAATAAATATTAAAGTAAAGAGGAATGTTGAGAATATTACTTTATTATCTTTTATTTAAATTAGGTATTAAGAAATTGTATTATCTTTTAAGAGAGAAGATAGAAAGATATTAGGTTATTATTTTGATTTAACCAGTTATGATTGAGATATTATTGATATTTGATATTTTATAATATTTTTACTCTATATATACATAGAGTACGTGAATAAAATATATACTCACATGATATATAAAAAATACACATATACAAAACCTTAAAATTACCAACATTATCTAATACACATAGTCCGATCACAAATTCAAACTATATCATCTAATAAACCTATTTTCAATAAATCTCATTCTATATTTCAGCCGCCAAGTCTTGTATTCTCCACCACATGCAATATTCTAGCATTGCCTTAAGACTTTCATAGATTTGAAGGCACTACCAAAAAAAAGCCTATTACTTACGGAATATTACCTACGGATAAAAATCCGTAGGTAAATTTTACATTACCTACGGATATTACCCACCGATGAAAATCCGTAGGTAAATTATACATTACCTACGGATATTACCTATGAAATTCTATCCGTAGGTAATTATCCATTACCTACGGATATTATCCGTAGGTAATGTAATCCGTGGATAATTTCGTAGGTAATGTAATTACTATCCGTAGGTAAAGTGTACATTACCTACGGAATTCTATCCGTGAGTAATTATCCATTACCTATGGATATTATCCGTAGGTAATGTCATCCGTGGGTAATTCCGTAGGTAATTACCTACGGAATTACTATCCGTAGGTAAATAATATTAAACTAAAAGAATTGTCACTAGCAAGAATCGAACCCGATACCTTAAAGTTGAAAACTGATACTCCAACCACTAAACTACTAGGATATTCTAATAATAATTTACAACTAAATTATACTTATATTTATTCATGTAAATATAAAAATATATAAATATAAAATATATAAATATATAAATATATAAATATAAAAATATATAAATATAAAAATATATAAATATATAAATATATAAATATATAAATATATAAATATAAATATATAAATACAAATATATAAATATATAAATATATCAAAATATAAATATATTTTATATTTATATATATTTTATATTTATATATTTTATATTAATATTTTTTATATTTATATATCTTTTATATTTGTATATTTTATATTTATATATTTACACGGATAAATATAAATATAATTTATTTATAAATTATTATCAAAATATCCTAATAGCTTAGTGGTTGGAGTATCGACCTCCAACTCGAGTACGTCAATGACGATTCCTTAATCTAATAATAATTCCGTCAATGACAATTCCCTTAATCTAATAATAATTCAAAGTTTCGAAAATATAATAAATAATAAAAGTATAGTATAAAGGGGAGGGGGTCCTAGGTATTAATAAGAAATAAGGGAGGGAGTTGTAATAAATAAAAATATTTTGTTTAGGTGGGTGCATTACCTACGGATTATAATCCGTAGGTAATTCCAGCGTGTACATTACCTACGAATTTTACCCGTAGATAATAAGCGTTTTTTTTGTAGTGAGGGTCTATGAAAGAGTATAAATCATACATTATGAGTGAGTGAGAAACCAAAAGGAAAATGTGGGAGAAAACCAAAAAAAACTTTACAAGAAACAGCTTCAAAAACCTTTTATATCTGTGAGAAAACTATTACTTGTGTAGGTTGTAAAAGTGAGCACGGATATCAGAATTCAAAGTACTAAGCTTCTTAACCAAAAAACATGAGGGTAGTTGTTGTGCTCACCTATGGAAGAAAATATAATTTCACCTTGAACCCAATACCTTAAAACAATAGGTTTGTATGTCTTTCTCACTTATATAGGTTATTCAACTTTCTCATTTCTATTCAATGACTCTAACTCACTTGATTCGAAAGAGGAGTCATGATGATGAAGTGACAGAAAGAAAATCTCTTGTTATCATACTGGCTACATGTATGTTTAACAAGATTCTGACTCTTGAAACTAGAAAAGAAACATTAGAAAGTTGTAGGAGGAGTCCTAAGGAAGTGGAAGAATATAGTTGTTGAAGTTAAGAAGAGAGTTTGAAGTTTCAAAAGTGAAAGAAAGTGAAGTTGTCAAGGATTTCTCTAACATTGTCCAAGGTGTCTCACAAATTAGATTGCTACCTAAGCAACTAAGTGAACAAAGAGTAGTGGAGAAAAATCTTGGCATGTCTTCTAGAGTAGTTTGAATCTATAATCTAAAATTTTGCAAGCTATTGAACAAAAAGAGATCCTTGAGGATGGATGAAAGTGTAGAAGGTGTTCTAGTAGAACCAAAGGAAAAATCAAGGTTGGAATAGTTTTGGAGAAAAGGCGTTAGGAAGAAAGCATGTAAAGAAAGAAAAGGAGTAAGAAGAAAATAACAAATGAGGAAGTTGGAAAAATAAGTTTTCCTTTGGTCGTGTCAACTCACAAATGAGACACACGATAATCATATAAGAAAATATGACACTAATCTCATATTATGTTACCAGTCTTTCTAACTTATAAGTTATTAAATTTCCTCATTTCTATCAATGTAGGACTTCAAACACCTTGAATTCCCAACAACAACCATACAAAATCTTCTGTCATTGTTGCCTAAGAGTTAAATGCAGGGTCTGTAATAAGGTTGGCCACATGGAGAAGCTTTGCAAAAATAAAACAAACCAATAGGGATAGTCAGCTCAAATTGTTGAGCATCATCAACAAACGAAGGAGCAACTACTTATTGCTACTTGTTATTAAGTTAAAGAAAACATGATTGATAGATAGTGGATGCACAAATCACATTATCTATGATACGAGTCTCTTCAATGAGCTTGATCCGTCTTAATTCTCTATGTAATACACAATTTTCCAATTTTGTAATTTGGAATGGCAATATAGTAGCTGATAAGTCCATTTAGAGCATGATTACATAATGACTTCGCTATTTGTATATGATACAGGGATTGACCATCAATGAGTCTTGTGAAGTTTTTCTCCCTGGTGACAACTGTCCATTTTGGTTGACTCACACAGGTGAAGGACATTCAGTGTTCTTCAAAGTTCCTGAGGATCATTATTGTCGCATGAAGGGAATGACTCTGTGTGTTGTTTATTCATCACCCCCTGAAAATGTGGCACAGAATTGCCTTCTTAGTGTCTTGATAGTTAATTACACCAAGTGCACCATCCAAATATACAAGCGAGACACGGTAATCTCCTTCAATAAAGAAGATTGGGAGGGCATAGTATCACAGCTAGGATATGGTGACCATGTAGAGATTTTTGTAACTTTTGGGCATGGATTCATTGTCATGAGAGTGACTATCTATCTATTATATGGTGAATCAACTGACATGAAAATGAGTTCTTCTCCTGAACCAAGGGAACATGCCCTCGTTAGATTCATTAAGAAAATTCTGATGTGTGACTTCTGGTAAGCCATATCTCTTTTTCAGGAACAAAGCATGATTCCTTGTGTTATGAATTAAATCCTAGTCTCCTTGTTGCAATTATTTATTTCCATGTTTCTAATTTTTCTTTTGAATAATTGTCGGAAGGTCCCTCATCATTTATCTTAATATTATATATGTATATATATATATATATATATATATATATATATATATATATATATAATTTGACAATTTTACTTTGTTTACATATTATAAATAAGTATGTAATTATATTATAAATAATGAATATAGGTTTTATTAACTAGAGTGCTCTACTAATAATACCTTATTTTTTATCAAATATGAAACAACTAATGGCTTGATTAAACCACATACTTAACTTTATCTGCTAATAATTAGACACATAGGTCCAACTATATGCACATAAGACTTTTTTCCAATGAAAACTTCCTTTGCAAAATCAATTCTATTTGCATTTCTAGTTCTTCCATCTCTCTAATTTCACAGATATAATACTAAACAAATTAAGAATTCCCACTTACCTGTAAACTTTCCTGATCATACATTATATCATCGTTATACTTAATTATTTGCCAGCAGAAAAAGGGCACCAATCTTATTTAAGGTGTTACCTAAATAATTTTTGTAAAAATGGCAAGTTAAACACCATTTTCTCTTTCAGAGTGAAAATGATTTCAGATATTTCAGACCTATGAATACCCAAAGTTGGATAATTAAAATTGTAGTTGAAACACCTCTTATCCCCACAAAATTTGCTATGGCTCTGTATCGTAACTTTTAGTATATCATAAAGGAAAATAACTCTTAATCGGACAAAATGGTAACAAATTAGAATTATATATAGATAATATTTTAATAATGTAATTTAATGATGATATTATAATAAACATAAGATCAGAAATTATGTTTTGTACTCTTACCAATTTTACATCGCTTAAAATAAAATTAATAATAATTTATATATTTTAAAGCGGGTAATTCTTTTAAGCGTATGCAAATCAAAGTGCATAGAATTTATTGAAACCACTACTCATCTTGCATCTTACACATTACAATTTTACAGATGCATCTTACAAAGTAGTTTTTCTTTGGCCCTTTTTCTGCCTCTCTTTTTGGTTCTTGTTCTGCCTCTTTTTTTGGCTCTTGTTCTGGCTCTTTCATTTGCTCAGGAGAAGGCTCCATTTTGATGTCAATTGATTTATCATACATTAGATAGACAGCTGTTTTCTTGACAACCAGTCCATGCCTAAAAATCACAAAAATCTCCACCTTGTCTCCACATCCCAGATGTGATATCATGCCTTGCCAATCTACATCGTTAAAGGAAATTACTGTGTCTCGCTTGAATATCTGGATCGTGCACTTTGTGTAATTAACCATTAACACACTAACAAGACACTCAATTGCTGTGTTTTCTGGGGTTGATAAATACACAATACACAAAGTCATTCCCTTCATGCGAAAATCGTCAGGCACAGTGAAATACACTGAGTGTCCCTCACCCGTATGGGCCAACCAAAATGGATCCTTGTCACCAGGGAGAAAAACATCAAAAGATTCGCTGGTTGTCAATCCCTGTAGCATGAGGCATCAAGGTTAGTTATTTATGCAATTATGCTTATAAAAATGAAAAACTTTAATCATACAACTATATATTATATAAATTAAAACATACCGATGGTAATTAGTTCAGACAAATTGGATTGATAGTTCTGTTGTGTATAAAGCAGCAACATGTCTTTATGATGCATTCTGTTTATGTTATACATGTTTTAAATATTTTTTAATGATCAATGGGGGACCTAACTAACATTAAGCACGTGTAGAAGGAAGAAAGGGAAATCAATCTCCTAGTGCTTAATATCTGGGTTTAGATCGCTTGGCTTATTAAGTATTAACAACAGGAATTTCTAAAATCAAATTGGTGTGTCTAGAAAAAGTGGCTAAAAGACAACAAGTATTGAAGTTGCATTTAGATAATACATAAGATTATTTCAAGTTCTCTTAACTAATAGCCGAAAGTAGTAGTGAAGGTAAGAAAATAAAGAAGGCAACCTCGGATATGCTTTTGCTGAGAGTATTGAAGACTTCTTTGTAACTTCCAATTCCAATCAAGAAAGACTCCAAGGAATGGTGTACAATTTGTGATGTATGTGATGTGTTTTCTACTTCTGACAAATTTACATTATTCATATCATCCAGAATTGTTCCCAATTGTTTAGATAGTTGAAACTCTGTGTCACAGTGCACCAAAACACTTCGAAGGTTTGAAAGTTTGCTAAGCATTGGTGCCAGATCACCCAAAACACTATTCTGAATATCCATGGAAACTAGAGATGAAGAAGTGCCAGAAAACAAATTGATACCAGATAGAGGATTCATTGTTGGTGACATCCAAGACTGAATGATAGAAGGAAAAACATTGCGTGACAGTCCTTCATATCCACACAGGGTTATATATCCAATGCTTTTTAAGCTTACTATTGAAAAAGGAACTTGTCTCACAGCAGTATTCTCAGCAATTAGAGTTATTAAGGATTCCATCTGCACTATATCTTCTTCCAGTTTGTCAATATTCGAACAACCAGCTAGAATGAGAGTTTTTAAGGATTTCAACTTATATATCTCTTTTGGGAGATTGCATAGGCTTGTACAGTCCTTCAAATTTATAAATAGAATATTCTGGAGATCACCAATGGATTGGTGTACCTTGCATAAACTTGGGCAATCTTTGAGAATGAGCTTTTCAAGACTTGGTAGTCCTGAAAAGTCAGGGGTTTCTGTCAAGTGTATGGAATGACTAAGATTGAGGATTTTTAGACTCTGCAAAACCTACAAGATACAAAAGATTTGAGAAGAAATTGAAAGAGTGGTAAGTGGTAACAATTACTATATTAAATAACCTAATGACTTTTAAAAGAAAATGCCACGTAATATATACCTGGGTTTTCTTCCAGAGTAGCCTAAGAGTACTATGTCTTAAATCCATTGCAATTACACCTTTCAGATCAAAGTTGTTAGGAATGTATTTAAAAGGAAACCCTCGCCAACATACCCATCTCAGTTGCTTAGAGAGATACCCATAATCCCCGGTGAGTTGTGCATGATCAAGTTGCAACAGTCTCAATCCCTTCATTTCTTTAAAGGCAGAAGCTTCAAAGCAATCTCTGCTGGTAAAATTCAATTTCAGAGCCAATCCCTGAACAGCTTCTGTCCCCTGTGAAGAAAAAAGAAAAGAAAAATAAATTTGGATATCTCTATCATTACCTCACTAGAAAATGACACTCTATGTGGAAAAAGGAAAACACAATGGAGATTTTAAAATGTTTATAAATGTACTCACAGTGTTGTTTGTGAGTACATCAAGAACATCTTCTTGAGACCACAATCGACTACGCTTCCATGGTTCGTGCCTTGAACTTTCACATATTACCTCTCTTCCCATATCTTGCAGCAAAGGATGCATTCCTAGTTTGTTGTTATTTTCAACTTTTATGAGACTACGCTCTATCAGAACTGCTATTCCAATATCAGCATGTAGTCCACATCCATTTAATATCTTCGTAACATAGCCTCTGTTTTTACCAATAAAGAAACAACATATATCAAGGAATATATCCTTTTCCATGGGATCACTTAAGCCATCAAAGCTTATTCTCAATATCTTTTGAACTTGATCATTGGGAATTTTTTCCAGTTTTGACAATACACTTGCCCATAGCTCCTTTGGCCTCCCAATTAAATAAGAACCAAGGACTCGAAGAGCTAGAGGTAGCCCTCCACAATAAGCAACGACATTCTTTGCCAATTCATTGAAGTTTTTTTGTGGTTTTGCTTCTCTAAAAGCATGCCAACTAAAAAGTTCAAGGGACTCATCTTGGTCCATTTCCTCCATTTTATAAACATAATCAACTTCAAGTTGGTGCAGTAGGTGTACATCTCTAGTTGTAATAATTATTACAGATCCTTCACCGAACCATTTACGATTCCCACACAGGTCTTCTAATTGGCCAAACTCATTCACATCATCAAGTATTATAAGCACGTTTTTATCAGAAAGTAGGGATGGCAAAACGGGCTAGCCCGCCCCGTTTTGGCCCGCCCAAAAGCGGGGCGGGACGGGCTGGCCCGATATAGTCATGACGGGCTGTAGACTTAGCCCGCCGCATGAGCGGAGTTGGCGAGCTAGCGAGTTAGTGGGCTAGTGACTGGCCTGCACATAATTTAAAAAAATAATTTTTTTAATAAATTTAATAATAAGATTATTATTTTTTGTCAATAATTCAATATATATATATATATATATTATTTCAATTTAATAATATAAATCAATATATTATTTTAAGAAATTATAATTTAGAACAATAATAAAATTTACATAATAATAAATAATAACAAATATATATATATATATATATATATAAATAACGTTAAACTTATAAAATTTATATTTTTTATATTGAAAAATTCAAATACCTATATCTTTTTTATTTGATAAAACTTCATATTATACTTGGTTGAGTAATTCTTATACCTTTAATTCAAGTAATAAGGATAAATATAATCGAGTACTTAGGATAAATAAGGAGAACAGGAGAGAAGGTTATATTTCGGGAAGGAGAATATTTTACGTGAGAATGAAACTTTTTAATTCTCTTTTTAAAATTTTTAACTTTATATATTATCTTTATAATTAATTTTATTACAATAAAAAATTATTTTTTTATTAATTAGGCGGATCAGTAGGCTGGCCCGCCCGTCCCGCAGGTTGGCCCGACGGGTTGGCGGGCCGGGCCTAGCCCGTTTTGCCATCTCTATCAAAAAGCCTTTCCTTTATTGTACTTGTTCCCATCCCAACGCTAAGTATCTTTACCTCTATTTCTAGGACATCTGAAAGAAGTTTCTTTTGTAAAAGAACATGCCCTCTTCTATCTGTTTGGCAAACTTCTCTGATATCTTCAATGAAACTTTTGTGCGTGAATGTACGATGAATACGATTGTAGATTGCTTTCGCGGTGGTAGTCTTACCCACTCCTCCCATTCCCCATATCCCTATGAAACAAACTTTGTTGGATTGATTTTCAATTAATCTAATAACTTTTTTTGCACGGGATTCTAGTCCAACCGGAAAATTTGTAGTAGACAAGTCTCCTAATTGGATGTTTAGTTTTCCGAGAACGTCCTCGACGATTTTCAGCACCAGTTCAGATTCATTCCTTCAAGTTAAATAATAATCATAACTCAATCAGATTTTTTTACGTGCCAAAGATATACCATAAGTTTAAAAACATGCTTTATTCCGTCTCAAACAAAAGAAACAAGAAACTAAACACTGATTGATTTACCTGTAATCCTTCGCATTCCAACCAGAGAAATTCGAAGCTTTGGTGAGTGCTAGGCTCCACCTGAACAACACGAGTTCTGCTTCTTTTCCTGAATATCTTTTCTTCACAGTTGCTTTCAAAGCTTTTCCAAAATTATCAGACTGATGACGTACAACGGATGGATCGATATCGTAAAATATGGGCACTATGTCTATCTTTCTGTGAGAAAGTTTCTCGCGTTCCATGATTTGTTCAAGTTCATCAAGACACCAAGTAGATTCAGTATAGTTTTTGGAGAAAACAACCAAATATATTCGAGACCATTCTATTGCTCGTTTGAGTTCAGCTTTCAGCATATTTCCTCTTTGCAGACTCGAATCGTCAAGGAAAGTGTTGACTCCAGCTTTTGAGAGGGCATAATGAAGATGAGAAACGAACTTCTCTCGAGTGTCTTTTCCCCTGAAATTGATGAACACATCGTACATCGTATAGTGTTTGAGTGGAAAGAGTGGTGATGGTGATGAAGAAGACGCGAATTCCATGAAGTCAACGATTACAAGCGAAAGCAACAACGCAAGATCCAGATCGATGATCTTAATGCTACTAGCTTTGTATTGCACATTATTAACTTAAAGTAATATTAGTGTTAATGCTTTTTAATTTAAATAACATGTAATGATAGTTTCGATTTTTACTTTCTTATTTGTATATTTCTTCTCTTTATACTTCTTTTATACCTCTTTCCACAAATAAACTCTTAACTTAGCTTTTTTGTTGGACTCATGAATTCAAGTGATCTTTTACTCAAACACTGAATCTAATTTGAAGAAAAATTATGGAGAACCTTCTTTTTCCCATAACTTCATTCAATAATATAATATTAAATTTTAATTAACTTTTCTTTATTCATGATTATTTAATTAATATAAAGAGTTATTTATTGGATGTTTTATCACTCAGCTAATTTTAAATTGTTAATTTTTTTATATCATTTTGATAAATGTGACCCACTTTTGGATGAATATTATTTGCAAGATAGTGCATAAAGTGCTGTTAATTATAAATTGCATTCCGAGACCCTATTCTTCCAAAATATCATCAATTCCACACATTAACATTATTCTTCAAACCTGAACAATTTTCCTTTTCTTGATACATAGAATCTATGAAAGGTGATATTTTTATAAGCGAAAGGAAGTATACAAAAGAAGATCATGAAAAAATTCAACATGAAGAACTATAAAGCATGAACACTCTTATTTGTCAAAAGATAAATTATGCAACAATGATGGTTTATAACAAGTGGAAGAATTGGTTATATCATGTATCGTACATAAACAAGACCATATATCTTGAATGTAATAGGTGCACCGGCAAGATTCACAAATTATGTAAAAGAATGTCATTTTAAAAAAATAAATAAGTGTTGAGATTTGGTAAGAGCATCTTTGAATAAAAATAAATATTTTATAATAAATTTTATATCTAAATTATTTAAAATTGGAGAAAATTGTTTAAAATTAAAATAAAGTTACTAACTGTTGGGATAAAGATATTTGATTAGCTAAATTATAGGTTTATATAGCGGTACAAAATATTGTATAATCGGAACTTCCTATATTTAGTCCTGATTTGTTAGAGTAAAATACTATAAGATCATAATATATGTGTACAAAAATAATATGAATAAAAATTCTATGTTTTTCAATTTGGTATCAGAGCTTATAATTTTTTTCTTTTTCTTTCAAAATCCTTGGAGATCTTAACTAGAGAGATGACAGAAAAATTAATTCCAATGGTTGTTCAATCTGAAGGTGTCTTCAACGCAGACATCATCCTAAATGAATCCAATTATGACGTATGGTCACAACTAATGGAGATGCACATTGCAGAGAGGAAAAAATTGTCCTATATCCGTGGGAAGGTGAAGCCTCCAACAGAGAACAATGAGGGATATGAAAAATGGTATGCTGAAAACCAAAAAGTGAAAAGATGACTATTGATGTCCATGAAGCCAAAAATTATGAAAAAGTATATTCGCTTACCCAATGCCCTCGATATTTGGAATGCTTTGTCAAAGGCATTTTATGATGGAAGTGATGAGCTACAGGTGTTTTCCCGGAATCAAAGAGCATTCACTACAAAACAAAATAATAGAACATTAACTGAATATTATGGGGAGTTGGTTGAGATTTTTAGGGAATTGGACAATCGTGACAAAGTAGTCATGAAGGACCCTGATGATGTGAAGTCATATCAGAAGTCCATTGAAAGATTAAGGGTGCATATATCCCTTGCTGGACTAGATGATGATTTTGAGAAAGTTCATGGAGAGATCTTGCGCAAAGAAGTGGCACCTGATTTAGAATAATGCTATGCATTGATCCGGAGAGAGACAGTCCGGCGAACAACGTTGAAAACAGAAGATATGATTTCTGATTCCATAGCTATGATGACAAAGAAACAGCCAGCAAATCACCACAGCAAATCGAAGCAATCAAAAGATTTTGAAAAAGGTAACTACAAGTGTACTCAGTGTAATAAGGATGGACACACCAAGGAACGATGCTATGAAATCATAGGATACCCCGAGTGGTAGGATCACAGTCGAGCATCGAAGAAGAATTCAAAAAGAAATCTAATTGCTACTGCTGTAACTGCCATTGACAAAGAGGACGACAAAGGCATGATGCTTGCTACAATCGCAGGTAGTGATGATTCTAATGGTAAGACTTTAATAAGCACATCTACCGTTCTGAATAATGCATGGATAATTGACTCTGCATGTTCTGATCATGTGACTTTTGATGTTAGACAAATTAAAAATCTTAAATCTTCCTCACAAAAAAGTATATCCACAGCCAATGGTAGTAAATCCACTATTATTGGAGAAGGAACTGTCTCTATTTCAAACAATTTGAATCTTGATATTGTCCTTGTTGTTCCTTCTCTTAAATATAACCTATTGTCAGTCTCGCAAATAACCAAATCTCTTTTATGTGTTGTAATTTTTGGGTTTGACTCTTGTGTTTTTAAGGATATTCAAACGAGAAAGACGATTGGTTGTGGTATTAGGCGAGGAATGTTGTATTACCTGGACCTGACAGAAAAAGATTCAAAGAGACTTGGTCAAGTGATAGCAACAAAAGGGTCTCAAGAAGTAAGAAAAGGCGAGGATATCTGGTTATGGCATAAGCGTCTAGGACATGCATCTTTTGGTTACATAAAGAAATTATTTCTAAATGTATTTGACCAAGTAGACACTTCAACTTTTTATTGTGATGTTTGTGAGCTTGCAAAGAGTCATAGAACACATTTTCCTTTAATTTTAAATAAAATTTCTCTTCCTTTTATGATCATTCACTCTGATGTATGGGGTCCATCTAAAGTTACAACGTTGGGTGGCTCAACGTGGTTTGTAACATTTATTGATGATTGTACTCGAATGACTTGGTTATGTTTGATGAAGTCTAAAAGTGAAGTTGGAGGACTATTTCAGAAATTCTGCAAAATGATTGAGACTCAGTACAAAGCACAAATTTAGGTACTGCGCAGTGACAACGGAGGAGAATATATGCAATCAGAACTTCAACATTTTTTAGTAGCCAAAGGAATTGTTCATCAAAGATTTTGTCCAAATACTCCACAACAGAATGAGGTGGCAGAATGAAAGAATCATCATCAATTGGAGGTGGTCCGAGCTGCACTAATTGGAGCTCACATGCTAGCAATATATTAGGGAGAAGCTCTCATATATGCAGTATACACTATCAACCAAACACCATCCAGGTCTCTTGAGTATAAAACACCTCTTCAATCACTTACAGATGCAGTAGTAAGTCCTAAAATTGTTGAACTAACACATAGAGTTTTTTGTTGTGTTGCTTATGTTCACTTACACAAGCATCAGAGAAGTAAGTTGTCTCCTAGAGCTGAAAGGTGTGTGTTCCTTGGCTATGCGGATCACCAGAAAGGATATCGGTGCTACAATCCACAAACCAAGCAAATGTTTACTATTATAGATGTAGTTTTTCATGAAACCTTGATATATTTTTCTCGCGAGTCTGAAATTCAGGGGGAGAATTATGATGAAGTTCAGACTTTTGTTCCTCAAGAAATTGATATTGAGATCAAATTGGAGAAAGAAAGTTACAAAGTTGTATCAAGAGATGATGAAAGTATGCAACAATGTTATGATCAACAACCACATAATGAGGAAGATTTTGAGCATGTTGAGATCGAAAATTTGCCTGTTGATGTTAATGATATACCACACCAATCGTCCCCTCAAGAACCTAATACAGAAAAAAGAATTCTGCCAGATCGTGTCACTAGAGGTATCCCTAAGCCTACTTATGATCCTGACCTCACCAGTAAGACAAGATACCCTATGAGTAATTATGTTTGTAACCAGAATTTTTCTAACTCAAATATTGCATTTATAAGTCAATTATCTACTGTATCTATTCCTAACAGTGTGCATGAAACTTTAGTTGTCTCCAGGTGGAAGGATGCTATGAATGAGGAGATGAGATCCTTGCAAAGAAATAAAACATGGGAATTAGTATATTGTCCAGTTGGAAAGAAACCAATAGGATGTCGATGGGTGTATACTTTGAAATTTAATGCAGATGGCACAATTGAGATATTCAAAGCTAGATTAGTGGCAAAGGGGTACACACAAGCATATGGAATAGATTACCCTAAAACGTTTGCTCCCGTAGCCAAAATTAGTACAGTTCGAGTATTGTTATCTCTAGTTGTAAACCTTGATTGGTCCTTACAACAATTTGACGTAAAAAATGCTTTCTTACATGGGGAATTGTCTGAAGAAGTTTATATGGAGCTACCAGAAGGATGTGGGATCCCAAATACACATAGCAAGAAGGTATGCAAGTTGAATAAGTCATTGTATGGACTAAAACAATCGCCACGAGCATGGTTTGGTAGATTCACCAAGTCAATGCTTGCTTTTGGATACCAACAGAGCAACCAAGATCATACCTTGTTTCTAAAGAAAAAGGAAGAAAAGATTACAATTCTTATTGTCTATGTTGATGACATGATAGTTACGGGAAACAATCTAGAGGAACGCAAGGCATTGAAAGAGTACTTGGCAAAGGAATTCGAGATGAAGGATCTTGGTCCTTTGAAATATTTTCTTGGAATTGAGGTCTCAAGATCAAAGTCAGGTATTTTTCTCTCACAACGAAAGTATGCATTGGATTTACTAAAAGAAACTGGAATGACAGCATGCAAACCAGCAAATTCTCCAATTGAAGAGGGATTGAAGTTGTGCATTGAAGAAGATCAAACTCCAACTAACAAGGGAAGATATCAGAGACTTGTAGGGAGATTGATGTATCTCTCACACACTAGGTCAGATTTAGCTTATGTTCTTAGTGTGGTTAGCCAGTTCATGCACAATCCAGATGAAAAACACATAGATGCTATTATACGGATTTTAAGGTATATAAAAGTTGCT